CCACCTTTGTCCCCAAAGCCACTCTGCTTTTTAACTCCAGCCGATAAGGCCATTTCCCACACCCATAAACATAAACTACACTCTTCTTATACTACCGACACTTTATTCACTTTTAGTCACTTACAGTTATTTATTCACCTTTCAGTCACTTTAATTTTAAAACTGTATATACTGTATATTCATTATTTCACTCTTATTGCCTGTTCTTATTGTGCTTATCTTCAACGTCATGCTGCTCTGTTGTTTGTTAATTGCCCCTTGGGGATAAATAAAGTCTTCTGATTCTGATTCAAGGTTCAAAAGAGGAGAATAACTTCTCTCAGGTCACGTTCAGCAGAAGAGGCTGTAGTACATTACTTACATGTAATAGTAAAGCTAAAATGTTCTAAGTACATTATTTTATGTCGTTTGGATTATAAGTGCGTTACAAATAGACATAATGGGGAGTTAAAAGCATAACTATGTAAATCACTGCCTTTTCTTTACTTTATTTATTGTTCGCGTTTGTTTTCAGGGACATTATGCTGTAGTGCCGCTGAGACATGAATCAATACTTACTGTATGAATTACCGTGCTCAGACTCTAATGGCAAGCTTTTGCCACGCTAAGCCTGAAATATATTTAGTGCACAGCGAGACAATGGACACTAAACATTCCATGCACTCGACAATTAGTCGGGAGGATCCTGCATAATTGTTAGTTAATTGCGTCAAGTGATGACTCAGGGGATGAGCCGTGGTAACCACTTCCGAGGCTTTTTTCATGGAAAATATGGTGAAAATGATGAAGGCCTAACGAACCTGTTTTTGTTTTGTTTTTTTAATTAGGCTAAGCGAATAGTAAGAGAAGTGCTGTGCAGTCACTGTATTGATCTGTGGTATGGTAATTTTATCTGATATAAATTTGTTAGAATGCACATTATATGTATCTATTGAATATGTTATCCTTGAATGGCCACTGCAATGCCATTTATTGCCTTATACAACAGAATTAATAATTTAGAGCATTTTATGCTGAGAGTAACTTTTGGTGCCCTTTGGTAACAGATCCGTGGCACTAATGCTGGGTGGCAGGCCAGTTTGAAGCCCTGCACTACAAGTCAAGGCTAGGGCACATCTGTCTGGCTGACTGGCCAATCTACAGCCCCTCGATCCCTGAGCTATTAGGCACACAGCTGACATGCTTGCATGTGTATGCACATGCACACTTTGAGGATTCATGGACCATTAACGCTGTGATCTGTAAAGTTACCATCACGCTTAACAAGCAAACCAAAAGCCACTGACAATGGCTTACATTTTCAAAGCGCTCAACAACTACGTGCTGCCGAGGGTCTCTGCCAGAGAGATTATAACGGAAAGACAAAAAAGGAAAATAAATAATAATAAAGAATCCTGATGGGAAAACTCTGTAGCGGCAACATGTAACCCAAAAAGTAATCTGCTTTGTAAAGTCAGTTGTGTTGTTCCATTGCTACAAGCACAGTTTGCAACTGCAAAGTGTTGGTTTCACAAATCACTTCAGAGCGTGCAATGTATTTTGAATCTGGATGAGTCAGTATTGCTGCAGTTTGAAGAACAGAGTTGACATAGAGCTAACATTAGTTAGCTAATCAAGTTAGCCGTTGTTGGATTTGGGATCAGTGTAATCAGCGTTCACAGCCATACACCAACATGTCGCCATGGTGTGGCTGTTAGCAAGTTCTTCACTGTGAGTGAGGAGGGCACAAACTTCACTTAAATTGCAGAGGAACACCACCTAACAACTAACCTAATGAGACACTTAAATCACCTTCACCTTTGTTTCTTATGAAAAAAAGTGCACAAAAATGAAAAGTTGATTTTTGATTCTGTACGCTGTCAGTTGTAGTTCTTTTAAAGAAAATCAAAACTGACAAAAGTTAGCATTGGCAAATCACACTTAGAGAGAAAAAACAGTTGAAATTGGACACGAAAATTGCACTTGGTTCAAACATATTTTAAAAAGGAAGATTTGTGTGGCTTTTCTTCTAAACATTATCATTCTTACTTAAAGTCGGGGCAGCATATCCCTCTTTTTATCATGTATGCATAACTGAATGGTAGTTTGCATGATTTAAAAAAAATCTTTTTAAAAGAGAGCATGATACTGTGAGTGGGATCAGAAGGATATCTGCTAAAAGCTAGCATGTAGGCACACATCAGTGTGTGGGGAAGATTATAAATGAAAGACTATAAGTGTTGTATAATTGTTTGCATGAATATTATGAGTCAGTACGATTGTACCAGAAGAAAAAAAATGACAGTGAATAGGCACTTTACATCTGTGTCAGTGTGCAGAGCATTTATTTGAAACAGGGGGTAGTTTCTCTGAACAGAGAAGCTGTTGAGATTCTCAGTTTCTGATTGGCTCGCAGCCTTTTTGGAAAGAAATCGTATCTTCTGGCTATCTTTACGTTTCAGAGAAGATTTCAAACCAACCGCAGAAGAACTTAAAAATTCACTAAGTTCAAGTTGTTCACCAAGAATAGCAACATTTTATACAAAGATGATTTTTCTCTTCCAGTACAGCCTTGCAGTATCTCTTTTCTAAGCATGCTAATTTACCCAGCTGGCAAGCAGTTACGTGAGCATTTAGTGAGTTTAAGGTCATGCTTGTGCAACAAATCAGACTGATCTCACAGTGTGACAAAACAGCCTGACTTTATGAGCAAATGTATACGTGTAAGTGACTAATACTACCTTTATGACACACTGACTGCATGTATATGACAAAGCGCTGCAGTTCCATTCTTCTATAACATTTTAAGTTTGTAGTACTGAGAGGCTGTTGACAGATCGCTGATAAAGATGCGGTGCATGATAGTGAGAAGTGTTTGTACTTTTTTAAACACCCCTGAACATAATACAGTCCTTTACATAATCATCTTTATGACATAAATTCTACTCAAACACAGTTTAACACTCATAAAAATGAGACTTTATAAGAGAACAAATGCATTTGACTGCAAATAAATCAATAAATGTGCGTGTTGTAGAGAACAGCAGGGTATGTAATTATGACAAAATGCTAAAAAACGTGATTGTAGGTATTACATGTGAAGTAGAGCTGTGCTGTGTGTGAGAACAGGTCTGATTTACGACCTAAGCAGCCACTCATAAATATTAGTCCTGAGGCACACGTCTGCATGTGTGTTTATAAAGGAGGGTGTAAATGTTTCATATGTCGAAGCGCAAGGAAAACGGAAAGAGAAGAGACGCCGTGGTGCAGGTGTGCAAGAGAACCAGTGAGACTCTTTCCCCCCCCCCCTTTTTTTCATTTTTTTTTCCATTTCTCTGAGATGAAGGTGGGAAGAGATGATGGGATGTAGGTTGGATGAAAGAAAAGGGAGGAGGAAAGAGCGCTCCAGTCCTGTCGCCTTGGGTGCATCAGCAGCAGGAATTGTTCTCTGCCCTGTGGGGGCCATCTGACTGTTCTGTCACCCTCAACAGAAGGCTGACTCTGCCTTAAAGTGCTCGGCCCCGCGCTCGCAGTTCGACAAGCTTGATGTTTAATACATACACAGGGAGAATATTGAAAATGCCTCAGGAGAAATGCAGCACACGGGCTGGAAGGGAGAGAGGGGGTTTTTTTGGTCAGTTTGTAGAACAACCAAGAATAGTGGGGCTCCTGTACAAAGCATGCGTGGGCAGGCTGCAAAATATAATTGCTGAAGACTCGGACCAAAGCCGGAGCTCCGTAGCAAATTGGAAATCTATTACGTGCAAGAGTTAAGTACCTCTCAAAAACAAAGCACTTGTTTTGAGGGGGGTACTTCTTCATTGTGGTGATTGTGTAATGCACTGGCATATCTGCGGCAGGAAATATACGTCACACTCATGCATGATGCTTCAGTCGAAATAACAGGCCGTGAATTTAACACGTAAGCTGAAAAGCCTCTCCCTCGTCTGTAATCAGGGCGAGCATGGTGAAATTCAGGGCATCACTCCTCAATAAGGCAGGAGAACGGGCCTCAGGGGTGACCCTCCTGCTTAAGTCAACACAATGGGTGTAATGAGGTGAAATACACACACACACACACACACACACACACACACAC